GTGTGTGTGTGTGTGTGTGTGTGTGTGTGTATGTATATATATATATACATGTGTGTGTGTATGTATATATATATATATATGAATCTGTACCTGTATCTGTATATGTATATGTATGCATATATACGAATATCAATACAGTATTCCAATTGTTGTCAACAGTCGTATCGCAACATATCCTATAGAACTTACTTTTCACTAAACACTCTCTTCTTTATATATATACACTGGTCACCACACTGTGGTTTCATCTAGTTTCCATGTTATGTACGTTAGTGTTTGAGGCAGTTAGTCTGATGGTCCGCCTGTCGCTGGATATGCTGCTGACTGATTCGCTGTGGTCACGTGTCCTCTCGGTCGCTGAGTTCTGCACACGCGCGAGCGCACTGCTCTGGGCCACGTGTGGGTTTTGTATCTGCGCAAATGATATATCATATATCGGAGGTTTAGAAATAACCGGTGGTGTTGCTTATTGCTACGTTGGAAGAAAAAATACCGAACATCTCTAGAGTCAGTCAACGAGCAAGTGGGCAATCACCGCAGTTTTGCACGGCAGAGTAGTATGGGTACAATACAACGATTCGTCACGCGAATGCTTGCAAGTCCATATTTCACATTGAAAGTCTCAGATAGCACATTGATAGTGCTCACTGCAGCTGACAGGTGTACGAATTTAGGTATGCCATCGTCCAAAACGTTAAAATCTCAAGACGCCGGCCACTTTTGCCTCACTAGCGATTGCTTTCTGAACAAACCCATTGACAATTCCAATAAAAAAAGTTTCGTATATGTCTATCGTCTCCGGAGCAACAGCTCAACGAAACAAAACATAGCTATTTTTGGTATAAACACTCTGGGTAACATTTAACATACACACTCTGGGTAATATATAACATACCCTGGCCAGCGCATCTGTCAAACGCGTATTCTCGACTATCAGTCGCCCCACTTCGGCTCGCATGGTCTTCATTTGTCCTTCGCTGCTAATGTTGTCATCCACTGGTTTCTCAATGACGGAACGGTTTATTATACAGCTTTGCCTCCTAATCTGTTCCTGATCTGTGTTGAATGTGCTGAACTTTCCCGGCTGATTGGTTGATTTCTGTGACATGGTTGTGGCCTTGACTTGATCGCCCTTGCCGGAGTATATAGCATAGGCTTTCGGAACAAACATCATGCACAACATCACCGTTAGCGGGAGGTAGCCGTAAAGGAATAGAAACAGCAACTGAGTGTTTGGTGCAGGGTTCATAAGGTAGATGAGCACCAGTATAACCGAGTGTATGACCACCCAGTTGTACACACTTGCAGAGATCAAAAAGGCCTCATTAAAGGCCGAAGGCGTGTTGCGAACTCGGAATGCGAGAACCACCGCCCAGATCAGCATCAATACTTGCATACCCACGCCCACATACATGCCAGACGTGTTGAGATTGCACTCGGTCCAGGCACTCTGTTTGACCGTGTACTCGGTTGTCCTCACTGGGTCCAGTACAGTCCATAGTGATAGGTACAAGATGAATGCACCCACCAGGGGTAGATAGCAGACTAATAGCAGGCGTCGATCGTGTAATCGTGTCTTGCGCTGGACCTTGAAAATCTGATCTACTCTGTGCGTCTTTACCAACAGACCACCGAAGGCAAGCACCCATCCTGTGAAACTGAACCATACGAACCCGTTGCAAGTGAAGTCGGTCACATCCACAATTAGCCAGAAGATAGACGAGTAGAGTACCAAAGCGCCTAGTAGTATGAGCTGTAGAAACAGCTTTGCACTGGAGCGGATAACTAGATATTTCCCGCATCTCTCAACTGCACCCACCCCGAATAAGCACCCGACAAGTGCCACTCCCGTAAGCACACCCGTTACAATACGTAGCACATCGCTGTTCTCGGTAAAGTGTCGGTACGGCCAATCATCTGGCTTGGTCATGTTGACGGTATCCAGGGATATTACTTCCTGGCCACCCTGACTGTACATTCGTGAATAAATAAAAGATTTGTCCACTTGCTGTTTGCTGAAGCTTACGCGGCCGTACCAAGTATTGACGTCCAATTTTTCTGCACCTAAAGTCAGGCACGACTCTGTGTTGGGATTTGGCATCGTGGAACATGGAGAGTAAATCCCTTGTCGAATGCAATACGATACAACACCCTCAGGAAAAGTATCAAATTTGTTGCAACCAGATCGGACCATTGCCATCAGTGCAGTTTGGATCGCAATCAGTGTCACAGCGCTGACGAGACTTATAGGCTCGCTGAGTGTATTTTGTGCTGCATATCGTGCAACAACTTCAGTTCCCAAATCGAAGAAGTCGGTAGTTATGTTTTCGTTTTTTATCACCTCGCTTTCCAGGAAAATGTCACTGAGTATCAGTCCATTGTATTCATTTAACGCCCGCATTTCTACTTTCTGCTCGATGGTTATAGCATTGGTGAAGAACAGATTATCTGGTCCGAGACTGAACTGTTGGAAGAGCTGAAGTACACGTGCCGGGTTTCCTTCCACCTTATTACCTGCGAATAAGACCACATCGGGAGTTTCGTCGGTTGGATTGTATTCCCGCTGCTTTCTGTAAATCTCGTTGATAGCATCCTGGTACTCGGTAGCTCTATGGGTAAAACTGACCTTTCGAAAAAGGAGCTGTTTCCAATCGGGCTGATCTTCCCGATTCTTTATTGAGTCCAACCAATGTACTAGGTTGCGATAGTAGAGCTGATCTAAGGGCTCATCATCTTCGTAGAAAAGCGCGTAAGTGCGTGCACCTTTGGCATATCTGAAATGGTAGTAAACAATAGTATTGTGAGATACAATGCGCCAATATGAATACGTGGAAGCGCATTCAACATTCAAGTATGCAAGCCAGTTAATCATTTATATACGGTGAGTTTTGTTGCACTTACAATGCGTCCATGAGGTCACCAACTGCTTGCGTACTAGGACTGTACGCTCCGTAGAGATTAGGATAGTCGGTCTCAGAGTATAAGCTAAAATCAGAGGCCCCGGGGGCAAAAAGAGGAGTTGTAATGATCGGTCTCACTGTGATGTTAAGCCGTTCTGCGGTTCGTTGCCTTGTTGTTGTATTGAACATCATGTCTCGTATCCGCAAGGTTCTGCTGGACGAGTACTGACTGAACCATAAGTGGCATGTTCTGTCTTTCTCAGCTTTTTCCATGCAACTCAAGAGATAGTTCTCCTGCCGTTCACTATTATAAACGGCAGCACTCGGATAGGCTGTTTTATTCCAGGCATTTGCCGCATTATTTCCGCTGAGTAAGAAGCCGCTATCGGTGAAGTGGAGTTGTACATCCTGCATGGGACTGTACATTGAATTATTATAGAAATCGAAGGCGGACCGAGACACCACATCGAACTGCTCGTATTTTGACCCAGGGCCATCGTTTATAACACAGATGTGAAATTGGGCGCAAACTGACATGTACAAAGGCAGAATCACCAGGAGCCGTAGGTTTTTGAAACACATCTTCTTATATGAGTTTTATCACTAATGTTTTGCTATTGAGCAAGCTTAAGTCAAAGATAAGTAAGATTCCTTTATGATACGCATTTCTTATACTATGTTGTTGCAAATTCTAATACATATCAATGTGGACAGCATTTGATACCAGCAGGTGAATATGTTTTTTAAAAATATTTTCATTTTCAGCACGCTATCAAATTATTTCCGATCTATTCTCAGAGGGGATCCGGAATCATGTAATGCCAAGGAATTTATCGTACAAGATGTAAACTCAAAACTGTAAAGTACTTATAAACCTCCTGGGCTCCTGGCCCCAACCCCCAGGGCTTCTGAGTTCTGAGTTCTGACTCGCTGAGGCGTGAGCCTGTGACGCTGTGATTGATTTTTTTAGAGAAAAACAAAAGGCTTTGCCGCATTCAGAAGGCAATGGCTATTTATGCTTTCTTTTTTCTTTGGATTTTTAGATTTTTAGAGGCATTCAGTGGGCTTATATTTCAGCCTCCTGAATCTGATATCAGCTCCCGCTAACATTCAACAGGTCGATTGCTTTAAATTGATGGTGCTCTCCCTCCTCTCTCTCTCTCTCTCTCTTGCGCCGCTTCCGCAAATGCTATCTTGGTTTATTCTATCATTCGATTTCTCTTTATGTTTCTAAACATTCCTGTCACAAACTTGTACGGGAATATGTAATGATGAAGACATGCATAAATATATACATATACACTTACAAGCATATGTAGGTATGTAGATTCACAATATTTTTAAATATATATTT